AATTATATTCACTGCTATTCCTGCAAAGGAATCATATAGATTTTATTTATTTTCTTCTTATTTAAGTAACTACATGCCATTCGAGATTCACAAGGAAGCTTTAAATGGAGGCCAGTGCTATGGGATTTGGCTAACCCTTTGAGTTTTCACCATATTCTCTCCTTCAGCTCAGAAAGCCCAATAGCTTTAAAAGCAATAAAATTATTATTTATCGGATACCTGGTTTCATGCATCTTATTATTGAACTTCTGGCAAAATATGTTTGATTTAAATTGAATCATCATGAAGATGTACACAAACCAAACAGAATTTTATTTTGCTGTAACATGTACAATTAAATTTTTATTTTTAAATAAAAAAGTATTAGGCCATTGATCTTGAAAGTTATCCAAAGGTTTTGAATCTGTCTTTGATAGTATTTTAGGATATGAGAATTAGAGTATAGTACCTGCCTATCTAGATAAATAAGTGTAGCATTCTCAAATATGCTCAGATCCTTCCAGAAATATTAATAAATGAATCAACAACATTCAGATTAATCATTTCCTCTCCCAATCTTTCTGAAACAACATCTTCCTGCCACAGCTGCTGATCTTCCTGCTGGACTGCTACCTGTACAGTATCTTTCAACTGAATGCTGCACAATAGTGGTAAAAAATATGCTATACGCAATTTAGAATGGCATGTCTAAGGACAAGATATCATTCTTGAAATGTTATTATCTATCTATCTATCTATCTATCTATCTATCTATCTATCTATCTATCTATTTATCTATCTATTTCATGCAAATTGGTATCAAATGAGATAACCTGATGCTGCTATATCCATCCTGAATAAAATCCACAAGGCAGCATTTGCCAGTTTACCTGTTTTGACTTTGAGGCTTTGTTTAACAGCTGCATAACAAATAAAAGTTCAAGATGTTAAGATTATGAAGGCAAAAGCCAATGCATTTAGAAAAAACTGCTGTAGGCTGTTTTGAAATTATGGACACAGTTATACATCTAGTAGGACAAGCTCTGTTTTCTTTTCAGATCATTGAGCACCCACTGAAGTAACAATGAAGGAACATGGTCCCTTAAAGACATGGATTCATATTGTGGAAATGGCTTTATTGGACTCAAGCTCACTTTATCAAATACATTAACATTGTGTTACATACACTTGCACAAATGATTTAAGTCAGTAGAATTTTTTAGTTGGATATATATAGAATAGATGCATGCATCTCTATATAATAATACCAAGGGCAATACATACTTCAGTATAGTAGAGAGAAATTGGAAACTGCAAGAAAAAAAGTGTCAATCACTCTATGACAAAAATCTAGGCCTTGAAGCAGATCTAATGAAATTAAGAACACTTAATTTGTGTTTATTCATTTATTTTTATTTTTTATTGTCTTAACCCCAAGAGAATTTAGATATTGTTCAAAATGTAAAAAATGATATATAATAACGCATACGGTACAGTAAACAGTCATTCTATGGCTTATCATATTCATGTATAATCAACTTCTGAAGCCTTCTGAAAATCTGTTTTCAGTGGTTTTTAGAACAGGGGTGTCAAACTGCCGGCCTGTGGGTCGGATGTGTTGTGTTGAAACCACGCACACCCCATTGCCGGCAATGGAAAAAAAGTTACGATACATCATGAGATGTCACTGCAGTTGTGAGTTTGACACCCCCGTTTTAGAAGGTCATAAGAATAGGACTCACCTGGGGAAGGTCACTTTGAATATCCCACTTTTGCTACCCTCAGTTTGGGGGGGGGGGTAGGCTGGAAAGGGAGCCTGCCTGCTGCTAAGCTTCTCCCTATCATGTCTGGTATAGGAAGGAACTTTAGCCAGGCACTCTTATTACCTTTATTGCATAGCAGAATTTGTCTGGTAACTAGGTTTCAAGCCATTATAGGTTTTATAAATATCAACTACCATATACTATCCAGAGCCCTTTTTTTGAAGAAAATGGACAGTATAAATATGAAATATGAATTAATTAATTAATTAATTAATTAATTGCACTTGGAAAAATTGGTAGCCAGTTCATTTCCTGCAGCAACCATGCAATATGGCAGTACTGAGATTGTCTAGTAAGCATAATGGCTATTATGCTTTGGAAGATCTGAAATAGCCAAGGTGTCTTCAAGGATAGTGTGTCATGTACAGCAAATATAGCAGTTCAGTTGAAAACCATTTGTATCCTCTCTTTTCATTTAAAGAAAGGTATACAACTTGACTCAGGGCTTTTTTTGTCATAGAATGCCCAGAACGGAGTTCCGGCACAAGGCGGGTTGTATGATGGGTATGAATTCCACCACCTTTTTTTTTAACAAAAAAAGCACTGACTTGACTAATATTGTAATCTATTTTATGACACATAAGCTATATTCTCAGTTAAGCTTAAAACTGTCTTCTTGATGTGTTGGGCTGCAATTTTCAAACAGCATGGCCAAAAGCTCAGAAAATGTCAAATTAGGAAAGCTGCACTAGGCCCTGATTACAACTAAACGCTGAAATTAATAACAATGAGGACATATTGCCTTGACTGCAGATTGCACTAAACTAGGGGTGTCAAATTGCCATCCTGCAGGCTGGTTGCATCATATGGAGGCCACGCCCATCCCAGCACCGACAATGCAAAAAAAGTCATGGTATGTCGTGACATGTCACGAGATGCAGTGAATCTGACACCCGTGCACTAAACAGTTTTGTTGAATCAGCTATAATTAATTGAATTCACCCAAATCAACTCAAAACCAAGCAAAATAATTTAAGGACCAGTGTGATGCATATATTCTATTTATTATGTTAGCTTTTGTATATTTGTAATGCTATGTATATATGACCTTATACCTCTGAGATGTTTACAAGAAGTATGTAGTATTATGGCAAATGCAAATATTTCTGCTGTAAATTCAGGGTCCTGGTAATTGTATTTAATGTTTAAAAAATTAACACAAAATCAAGCTTAAATTAAACTTTTGCTTTAGATGTACAGAACAACATAAGCATAACAGTTTACTTTTTTAAAAAAAATTGAGCATCCAAAGAGGCAAATCACAAGTTCAGGGAACATCAAAAGCTGTCATCTTCCAATCCACAGTTTATTCTGGTAACCCAAACAGCACAGGACAGAATTTCAGGAGGGAAGCAGAACATTATTTATCACAGAAAGCCAGAGACACAGATGTGGCTTTTTTTAGCCCTAATTACAATTGCTTTTTTCAAGTAGATAACTTGACTTTGGTTATTTTACTCTGCATAATTTGTGATGCATTCTAGTGCCTGAGACTTTGCCCATCTCAGGTGCTAAATCAATCTGCACCTGTGTCTTCTCATATCTCTCTTTCACTGGTGTTCTCCCCTCCTACCTGCTACAGTGCAGGTTAAGGTCTTGCTTTGTTAGGCTGTTCAATTTCTGAAAATGAAGAATGTATCTGATCTCTAAACAATTGAGATTTATCTCTTTCCCACAATTGGTATTGGTTGAGTCTTCAAAAGATCTATCTTTCATTGATTTATCTAATCTCTTTTTAAAATTATCCAAATTAGTAATGTTGTTATGATCACATTGTATTTTGATTAATTCCATAGGTTGATTATGAACTGTATGACAAATGGGTATTAAAATGAGAAATAGCTGACACTGTGATCTTTCTAAATATGGTATCTCACTTCTTTGAGGAAATGGTACCTTGATATTTCTGTTCATTCTTCTGAAAATCAGAATAGCCGGTAATGCAAAAGGTATGGGACATACTTATATCAACCCACAATAGAATAAAAAATGTTTATGTTCAGTAAAAATCTACATTTGAACAGGCCCAAATAAATAAGAGTTCTTTGTTATAAACTTTGCTTGTTTTCCTCTGTTCCTATGACGAAGTCAGTATTATGACATTTTTATATCAGACTATCCCTTTGAAGATTTAATGCATTATCATTGGCAGTAAAATTAGGATGTACAGTGAAATTTTGATTTAATGATCAGTTTGGAGGAGGAATGTTAGTCCTAGGAAAGCAATTTGTAATATTATGTCATTTGTGTAGTAATGTCTTTATATAATGACATAAATCTCTGTTAATGACATAAAATTAATGTAACTTTAACTGCCTCATCTAAACTTTTTTTTAAGGGCAGGAGGAATCTCAGATGGAAATTTAGTCCATTGCATCCAATGTCTGCTAAAATGGTATCTGTTAAATACTATTTTAAATTTCAGCTATGGGATAATTGTACGGAAAAGAGTACAGACGGAAATAAAATATTTACAAGCTCTAGTGGATTTAATAGAACTACTGGCCATTGTTTAATGGTTGTAAATCTAAGAATATCAGAAATAAAGGATAGGAATAGAAACATAATTCTGTCTAATAGCCAGCACAGGTGCTTAAATAGCTAAATTGCTGAAAAGGATTTCTGGTTGCTCCTGAAATTGTGCTTCCCATATCAGTGCTTATCCAGAAAAACTCCTAAATTGTACACTTTGGAGAATTTTCAATCCTATTTAAAATCTGTAAAAAGTAACCGCTTCTGGATTTTGTGCTTGCGATAGAAAAATGAAATTTTGATTTTGGTTTTGCTCATCAGGTAGGTTTGTTTTTATAGAAATGGATATTACACATTATGATATAAAAGTAAAACGCTGAGATTGTAATGTTATTATTTTTTATTGTGCTAATGAGAGTCGGAAGTCAATACCTTTTTTTTCTTTCCTCCTTCTAGTCACACTTTCTTTTCCCCCTTTTTCCCTCCCCTAATTCCTATTATTTTTATTTTCCTTTGCGTTTTATGTTCTAATAAACTAATAAAAGCTGACATTGGCAAAAGATCTGTAAAAAGGGATTGCACTGTACAAAACACCTCTATCTAATTGAGATCTTTATCTTATTTGCCACTACCCATTCCTAACCACTTCAAAACATGTTCCAGAGCATTTTAATAGCCTTTGGAGCAAGAGATGGAAATGAGAGTCTGCAATCTTTTTCTTACAGAAGAATCTACAAAGGTAATCAAAAAGTATAGATGGTACAAATGATCCTACACTGAAGAAGCTTCTTCGATCAGAAGTAAAATATCTTCAAGGGAAAACAAAGTCCTTTTGGAAAAGGTGAAGCCACCCCCCCCCCATTTTTTAAAATGCATATTTACAGAAAGCCAGATAGAATCTAACCCAGAGTTTCCCAAAGTGGCCAATATCAATTTGCAAAGATCAGTAGGACTATCCATAGGGTCAATAAATGTCTGGGGTTCAATAGGCGATTGATAAATGATTGATTGGGGTTAGTTAATCTTTTGGGTTTCTATAGAGTTCCTAATCTTGAAAATGAAGTATTTAGGGATGAAATATTGTTATCCAGGGTTGGATGATTAATCACCAGTGAGAGTGGTCTTGTGGTTATTGTTACTCATAGTACTGTTAATTCAAATAGTATTTATTACTTTTTCACATAATAAATATTTGAGGAGTGATGAACTATCTGAAGGGGTTGATGTACTAAAGAGTTTGAGGAATTCTGATTTGTACATATTTCTTAGTTGGCTAAAGGAAAAAAAACAGGTTTTATCATTGCAGTTGTAATATTTAGTCAGTGCTATTCTAATATTGTTCTAATTTCAGGGACTACTATTGTCTTGCTTTGAAGAGAAATTATGCATATCAAGATTATTACTCAAATTAAAAATTTTCTCAAAGAGTATCAGGGCAACAGAAGAAATTATCAGTTTATCATTGGATTAAAAAACATGGATCAAAAGTTTCTCTTTGGAACTAAAAACCTTTCTGTCATGTATATTCATTCATTGGAACCCCACTATGCAAACATCAACTTTTCTGACTTCAGTACTACAGCTAAGACTAGACATTAGGGCCAATGTCCATGGCCTGGCAACACAGGTGTACCCCAAGTAACTGCAAGTAACTGTTCATGGCCTAACATGAATTCAGACTTCAGCAAGGTGCTTATTATAGCATTCTTATTCTTACTATTTTCCAAAATATTTTATAGTTGAAAAAGTTTGGCACAATTGCAAATTGTGATCTAGTAAAAATATAAAAATTATTTATCATTCAGCTGCTACAAACTTATTTTTACAGAGTAGATGCTCATTCTGAATTTAAAATGTATTTAGTTTAAAAACAACAATAAACAAATATGTTTATTTCAGTATTACACATATACTGCTCAAAGCTCATCTCCAATAAGAATCCAGAGTTGAACATTACAGAGTTGCATCACAGCCTGAGGTAAGGCAAGTCATAATTCTGCTCTTACTGTTCCTCCCTATCTGTGACATAATAAATGTGATTAAGCCATGTTTTATTGAGTAAATCACAATGGTTCAGTTTGTATAAACAACATTACAGTTCAGCAAGAAATGTAAATTCTGTCATGAACAGTTTTTTTTAATGGTAGTCTATAGGATCCTATAGGTTATAGGATTGGCATAGTTAGAGGACTTATTTAAAGGACTACAATAGTATCTATTAGTTTCATGACTCCCTTGACATTCTGTTCACATAAATTTCTCTTTAAAAACAGTGCTTTTTGTTACTATGCCAAGAAGGCATAATCAGTGGATATTCCATTCCAACAGTGGGCGTCCTTCTTTAGTAGTGAGAAGTCACATCCAGTGGTGGGATTCAGCCAGTTCATACCAGTTTGGCAGAACCAGTAGCTAATCTTTTGTTGCCCAGGTCCAGAATGGAATTCTGGAATCCACACAGAGAGCCAGTTGTTCACATATTGGAATCCTACTACTGGTCACATCTACTGGTACAATATCAAGATTGCTAGATGATTAGAGGTTGTGGTCCCAAAGAGTAAGAAAAGGATCATTGCATAGGTTTACCTGATATGCTGGTTGCACCCATTTCTGGATGGTGAAGTGCTTTATATTGTCACTCATGCCATTGTCACTCCATGACTGCATATTGCAATGTGCTCTACATGGGGTTGAAGATCACTCAGATGCTACAGCTGCTCTAGAATGCAGCAGAACAGGTAGTGTTGGGTATGCCTCCGAATGCTCATGTGACAGTACTGGTATTGATGAACATCTGGATACAATTCAAGATGCTGTTTCTCACATATATATGCTTCATAGCATAGGACCAGGCTATCTGAGGGGCCTGTCTTCCATGATTTGTGCCTTTCTGGTGAGGTCAGACAAAGATAATGTGCTTCAGGTACTTTTAATCAGTACCTGAAGGACAGGTCTCTTCTTGTGAGACCTGTCCTTTAGAATAACAGAAAAACAGATTTGGAATTATTCTTATTGACAGGAAACTTCTTCTTAATTCTAGATAAGCTTCTATCCATTATTCTTGTCTTGCCTTCAGATTCTTTGGAGAATAAGTCAACCCCATTGTCTCTGTGACAGCCCCTCAAATATTGGAAGACTGCTATCATGCCACCCCTAGTCCTTCTCTTGATTAAGCTACACATACCCAATCTCCACAACCATTCATCATACACTTTATTCTCCAGTTCTCTAATTATCTTTGTTGCTCTTCTCTGTACTCTTTCTAGAATCTCAACATCTTTTTTCTATCATGGCGACCCAAACTGGATGCAATATTCCAAGTGTGGTTTTACTAGTGCACTATAAAGTGGTAGTAACACTTCATGTGACCTGGCTATCTCTATTGATGCAGGGAACTGCATTGGCCCTTTTGGCAGCTGCAGTGCACTATTGACTCATACTTAAGTGATTATCCACTAGGATACTTAGATCACCCTTTCAGTTACTGCTGCTGAGCCAATATTTGTAAATTTCTATACAGACATATAAATTATCAATGACATGTTATATGCAAATCTGTACCATCTTTTTTTGTCATGTCTCCTTTCCTCCTTTTCTTTCTCCCTGGTGGAGGGAGATGTCAAAACTAAGCCAAAAAATGACAAAGTAAAATCTGATCAAGTCCAGTTCTTTATTTATTTACACCTAGCAGATAGGAGCTCCATACTAAAGCTATAATCTTCAGACCTAATAGATATCCCCATGAGATTCTAGGGTGTGATTACCCTGAACCTTTTCCTCCTTTGCTATCCAGTTTAGAACTGTGCAGTCTCTTATTATAAGTTTCTTTCTGGAATGTATTGCCTACAGTGCTGGGATTCAAATATGTGAACAACCAGTTTCATGGGTTTTCATGATAAATAATAGATCATCTTGGTCCCATGTCAGAGAATAGAAAAATTATTAATCTTAATAGCAAATTCAGTTATTTTTTATTTCCCCAAAAAAGATTAGTGAAACCCCAGGAATAAAAGCCTTTTTAAATATAATATAGAGATGGTAGATTTATGATACATTTGCTGTCTCTGTTTCAGCATCTCTTCTTTTCCACAGCTTCTATTGCAAACCTCCCAGAGATCTTATAGCCTGTAACATGTAGTCACATCTCAATGCATACCCCTCACCCCACACATAGGGTGCAACAGCAAGTCTTCCAGAGCCTGCACATATTCTCTGCAGCATCCCCTGCTCCACTTCATAGTATTCACCCACCCATCAGCCTGCTTGCAAGCCACCCTGGACTTATAAATTGCTATTGGCTTCCCTACTAACTTTGCTTATGGGAAGTCAGCAGAAGCTGCAAATCATGGTCATGTGAGATTTTCACTAGATGACCCACTCTGCTCATTTAATGATGACAGTTGGGACTGCCAAGATTACCATGGCTAAGCGATATGGTCACATGACTACCATATCATGTAAAGATGGGAATTCTGGTCCCAATCACCATTGTTAAGTAGGATGACTTATACTGAACACTGCATGTGCTTGCTTTGACTAGAAAAACACCATGCCTTGTGACATCTGCTCTTACTGTGGTATTTATATAGAATATTTTCTGTTTCAAGAGAAACTCCAAGGAAGAAGAAAAGAGAAAGTTTTTGATCTTACATAATCATTATGAATCATTTCATATTTAAATTGCATTAATATTATAGAAATTTATTATCAAGCTGATTCAGTTTTCCATAATAGGAGAATATTTATATCTACATTCTTTCCTAGGCTTGGCTGTCCATGCAACAGAAAAAAACAAAACAAAACATTCAGGCTTGCTGGAAGCAGATATACCAATTTAGCATACAGTTGAAACACTTAAAGGTAAGTAATTTAGCAAAACAGGATTGTCTTCCAATGATTCATACTTCAGAATGGATGGTCTGCCTGCTGAGGGAACTATGAGTTGGATACAAAATTCTTGATTTTACTTTACTGAGGGAAGACACAGATTGAATCAACAATTTAACCTAATTGTAACCCACAAATTTATTTCTACTGTAACACAGTTTACTGAATGCAGTACATTTTTCTTTGAGGAATGATTAGGTAAAGTGAAGTAAAATATGTGGTTTATATGTATTGTTTTGGATCATTACTTGACAGACAGGTAGAAAAGGAATTCTAATCAGTAGAATTATGGAGGAGGAGAAGGAAGGACATTCTGGACTTAGGTTGTCCTTGATGGATGGCTGCCATTTTTTAAAAAACTTTTCTGAAGACGTTTTGCTTTGGGACTAAATTATCTAAATAATTTCATAAGATGTTTGATATTAGTCTGCTGTCAAAATCCTTTTCATATGATCAGTCTAGATTGCTGATCAGAATAATATGCTATTTTCTTGTCAGATTTTGATTTGGGGGAAAGAAAGAAAAGAAGATTTTCTTTCCCCCACAGCAAAAATGAAAAGTGTGTAAGATGTGTTAGTAATCAAACTTGTGAATTGCAAGTATTTTGTTGTTGACTCTTAGCCTGTAACCAAATATGTCTATGCCTGTCTTAAAGCTGACCCAGTGAGAAAGCCACATTCTGACGTTATATGTATGGCTTGCTTATGTGTGCTTTTTTGGCTCCCAAATATTCTGGACTGACAAGAATGAATTCACACAAATTAATTAAGCAGTGATTTTGTAGACATTTGGCTGCACTTTCTCTTTTCCTCTTTCATCTGCAATGAGTGTATCCTTAGGTGAGAAACGGGAGAGTACACTATCAAGCCATTTCTTCTCTTTTGCATTACCACAGAAGACAGGTTGGCACCATTGCATACTTGTACCCTAAAGTATTTTGTTTCATCAAGAACAACAAAGAATTGTGCAACAGATTAAAGAGAATCGTTTTAATGCAGTCTGCAAAGTCAATCTTCAAAGAGTTCTATGGCAGCTAAAAAAACAGGTGAAAGATAACTATTTTATTATAATCTAAAACAGTGGTTCTCAACCTGTGGGTCGGGACCCCATTTGGGGTTGAACAACCATTTCACGGGGGTCGTCAAACAATGCAATCTGCCATTTTTTCCCCCTTTTCCTTAGCTGTGCTGCTCCCTTTTATTCTATTGGCTTTTGAAAGCCAATAGAATAGACTCTCTTGAATAGAGTCTAATTCCATTGGCTTTCAAAAGCCAATAGGAATTGTCCAGGCTGTCTCTGCCCTGCTGAGCCCACCAAAAGTCCTATTCTGCAAACGGTGCTGCAAGTTGTCTGCAGCGAAGGCGAGCTGTCTGGAAGCTTCCACCCTTCCCTGCTGAGCAACTACTAAAGATGTAAGTAAAAGAGGGCCAGGGGTGGAAGGTGGGAGGTCGGCGGGCGCAGGGAGGGTTGCTGGCATGCATGGGGCCCGGCGGGTGCCTTACCCCCCTTGGGCTGGGCCAGCTGGTGGCCCAGCTGGTGGTCGGCCTGCGCCGTCTCTGCCGCTTGCCAGCTACGCCTTGGCCAGTGCAGAGGGCAGCACCACGCATGTGCGGCGCTCCCAGGCAGGAAAAGTCCTTGACTTACGACCAGTTGGGTAGTTCTCGACTTACGACCCATTGGGTAGTCCTCGCCTTACGACCGGGTGGGGGTCGCGGCATTAAAAAGGTTGAGAACCACTGATCTAAAATATTGTAAAGAACCCTTTCCATTAAATGTATCCGATTTGCTTGCTGTAATAATTGTGTTCATCTTTAATGTAGCTGGAATAAGAGTACTTAAATTAAGTATTTTTCCACAGCATTAAGTAAGACAAACAATACAATAACAACAGAATTACAGTATACTCATTGCTGTTGTGGGTAAGAAACCAAACAAACAAAGTGGTCAATTTGTTGGGGTTAGGAAAGCAGGGATTCTCTACCCTCAAAAATAATTAAAATTTATGTCATTTATTTAGTACATTAAGTTGTATAATGGCAGGTAAGTAAAATGGATAACATTTGACTCCTCTTTGTTATGTTCAAAATATAGAGCCTCATACTGAGAATTAAAGCATGGGCTTCAGTACATTTTGATGTAGTTGTTGTGGAGATTCAGCATTTGGTAAAAAGGGAGGTCCCTGTTTAGTTAAATTGCATACAAGACAATTTATTGAGGCCTATGTCTGATCAGGCAGTCAGCTGCATGGTTAAAGACCATATGTTAATATTATTTATTAATGTTAACTACTATATTTGGCTTTCATTCATTTTATATTCATTAGTAAGGAGAAAAGTTATTTTGATATAAAAGGATATATGTGATATCATATAACCAGGGGCAAATTGCAACTTGTAAATGAGGATTTGAGAAGAAGGGATGGAGAAAGAAGAAAGATCAGGAATATGTAGTATTTTATATGCACCAACAAACTGAATAACAAGTAAGAAGAATTATGAGATGATCCATAGTCTTAGTATTTGTATAACATAATACAACATTACATCTTGACGAGAAGAAAGAATATACTTAATCTCTAGTCACTGAGGACATTCTATTTCTATCAAAGAGTCAGCTGTGGTTAATAGTATATCTGCACTAGCATAGTGCTTTGCTTGAGTTACCGTCTGGAAATGTGTTTCTGGCCAAAGTTCCAAATTGTGGCTACAATAAGGAAAATGGGCAGATGTAATATTAGGTCAAATTAGCCATAAAACTGAAAGGAATTCTCTCCCACCCTTTAAATTACAAGGACTTCAAACAGTAGCAAACTCAAGATTCAGGTGTACAGTAGGTGGATCATGTTCTTTTATTTCTGCTATAAAAAAGACTGTGCAACTTCTTTCAGGCTGAGAATCACACCCAGCCCTGGAGTGGAGTATCAGATGCCATCCTTTCCAAAATAAGGAATAAATCCAGAATGAAAACAAAATATCTGCTTTATATTTAAAATTAGAAGCTGCTTTAATTATTTACTTTCCACTCATGTACTGAACATTGCTTTCTTTGATTACAATGAAAATTAGAATTGAGGGGGAAAAAAAGATTTGGAAGGGTAGCCATACGTTGCCCTGGGTCTTACAACCCAACCAAAAGAAGGAGAATAAAAATGACAGTTGTCTATAGGAGATATTATATTTTTCTATCTAGTTTCTCTTAAACCAGTTGAACTCAAAATAGTGTTTGCAAATGTATAAAGTGCTAAGCTTGCACAAACTCAGGTGACCTTTTTGTTCAATACTGTTTTACACTCAGCTGGGTGAAGAACTGGAATGACAATGCTTAAACCAATGAAGAGATCAAAGCTTCCAAAGTGCTTTGCAATGGATTTTTTCATGCAGCTATTTCAATAAGAATCTATTTGACCAGAATGTTAATAAAATAAAGTTTACAATGTCAATTAATGTACACTTGAGCTAATATTAACTGGATCTTCCAAAAAAAATATTAAATTTCTTCCTAATGCAAAGAGGAAGGAAGAAAAGATTTTAAACTGGAAAGAAGTGTTAATTAGATCACGCATCATACTACATCACAGTGTTGTTTGTTTTAGCTTGGAACAGTATTAGAACCAGCTACTGTAGCAATGTTGTTTGTGAACCAGGCCAGTGTGTCTTATTCTATAAATCATGGTTTAAAGGATTCCACGTTGTTATATGTAGTCATTTCTCTTGTGTAATTTCTAATAAAGAGCCTTTCCCCTCTTGTACCTCAGTATGGCAGAAACACGCCCTGGTAGCATCTTTTTTCTGTTGTTGGGTTTGTTTGTTTTTTGTCAGCTTATGAGTGAGACAGGATTAAGTCATCTTTAATTGTACCAATTAATACCAAAATGGTATTTTCTCTTTTCTGATATTATTCATGTGTAATCTAGAGAAGGCTCTAATGATAGGAAAGATGGAAAGAAATAGAAGTAGAAGATGAACATCAGCAAGATGGATGGACTTAGTGGCTATCAGTGTACTGTTGAAAGATTGGAGAGGCCAAGTTAGAAACAGATTGTTATAGAGAAAATTTGTCTATATGGTTGCTACAAATCAAATCAGATGTGAGGGCCCATATTCAATTAAATCAATCTATGGTGCCAATTATGTAAAATTTGTTATGCTTTACCATCTTATCAACCAATGGAACAGTTTGCCTTCAGATATTGTGGGAGATTCATCACTGGGAGCATTCAAGAAAAGACTGGACTGCCATCTGTCAGAAATGGGCAGGTGGGTTGGGCTAGATGACCTACAGTATCCCTTCTAATTCTGTTGTTTTATTCTATTCTATTCCTTATACTGGAGGTTAAGTCAGGTGTCCACTGGTATTGAAGTACCACTTAGAGGTTGTTTCATACTAATGTGGGCATGCTCTCCCTCTTGGTCCCTCATTAATCTGACCACTATTATGCCTTCATTGTGTTGTTGTTTTTCTAAAGAGCTAAATACACAATGTTGTGCACTGAGCCATCAAAATTATGCAATCAGCTAAAATGCTTCAACTTCATGGTCTTTAGTGGATTTAATACAAGGCTGAAATAACAAAATTGTTTACTTTTAACATGGCAATTTCATCTTCCTGTTTTAGTTTTGATATTGTTGTTTTCAAGTACCCCATATAATAAACTCTGCAAAGGAATACATTCTGCCTACATCATAATAATTCCCTTGTACTTTATAAGATAAATACATTCTGTCTCCTGATTGGCCTCTGGGAACAAGTGAGAAAGAATATAGGCTCAATAACTCATTGCAAGTCCATGTGTTGATAGTGCTGTTCCTCTAATGAGTAATGAACTTTCAGAGCTCTTTTCATCCATCTTAACATCCTAACCACATAACTAATTGAGAATCCAAGCTGCTGTTTTAACTTTTAGAAATTAACTATAAACCCACATTTGAAGTACCCCGTTTTGTTCCATTCTGGATTCTTTCAAGGAGAATGCTGGTTTAAAATGAATACAGTGATATCTTGGTACTTGTCATTAATTGATTCCAGCGGGCGCAATGAGTACTAAAAATGATGAGTACCAAGCAAATCACATGATTAATATGTGACCCTTTGTTTTGGCCAAAATTCATGAGGCAACTGACCCCAACTAGTTCTAGTTTGCATGTCAAGCACCAAACAAATGATGAGTACTAGGACAAAATTTTCATATCAAAATATGTCAGGTACCAAATCTGACAAATTTCAAAGCAGTCAAGTACCAAGATACCCTTGTAAATAAATGAATCAAATTTAAGTACAAGATACTCTCTCCTTGAGGCTATCTGTTTATCCCACAAAGTCAGATAGAATGGACATACTCCAATCCCTTCCATGAAATGTTGCCATTTAGCAAGACCTAAGTAGTATATTTTTTCTATAGAAGCCCTGGCCTTCTTGGATCCTCAGGTCCCCACATTCTTTTAGAAAGCCACAAAGAATTGGCTTCAAGAAAAAGCACCAGCAACAAAGTACCAGATTAATATGATTTAGATTGCCAATATCATTTCCTTAGTCACCTAATCCAAGTTAGCATATATAATCTGGCTACCATAGGAGTAATTTAGGAAGTTATTGCTATTTAAAAACACTTTCACATTTATACTTTTTAATGAGTATTTAATATGCTCACAAACCAGCAACTATTTGCTTGTTATGAACAATTATATATTTTTCTACAGTTAAGGCCACTATCAGAAGACTAGATTATTATTGAATGCTCATTAGAAACTTTTTTATTAGTTTATGGAGGGAACTTTCTTTAATTCAAGGTCAGTTTTGAAGAGCACCAGTTTGGAAAAATCTGCTTTAAAAATAGGGAAGTGGAAAATTGATGACACAAAATGTGTGACAGTAGCCTAAACTTCTCTTTTATTAATACTCCTTTTCTTGTGGAAAACAGAAGGACTCTTACGAATTCCAGAGGGTTTTAGCAGAGAGATTTATTGCGCAGGTTCAGAAGCAGTAGCAACCAGCAATTCTGAACCCGGAGGGCGGGTTCAGACTTCAGTTTTATACTTTCTTTTTCTCAGGAACAAAGGAATACACATTGTGATACACATTGTATTACATTAGGTTCGTTTCTCACGGTATACAATGGAGAGAGTTTTCTACATACATTGTATCCAAGTGCAATGCGCATTAGATTAGTCACATACTACTAACGCAGCATTATTCCAGTAATTATGCAGACACATCATTATTCTAGTGATTGTTTATTAATCCACATTACTTTCATTTTTAGTTTTCACTCTGAAACAAGCCTTCTGTCTTTGGTTTGTAATAGATAATATTTGGAAAAACCTTGTTTTTCATGTTTCCACAGTATCAACTGGAGCCCAAGTGGAACCATATGGTTTGATCATGAGAAATTTTGAATAACTAAAATAGATTTTCAGCAATGTTTTTAAAGCTAATAGTGATGGTATCTGGCAAATTTCAAAAGGCAAGATTTTTCCTGAGCCTGAAGTAATAACCCCAAGGATCCTTCTTTTGTTTTGATCAAATTATCAGTTCCCAAAGAAGACAAAAGTGAAGGATTTCTATATCAATTCTTAAAGTGTGAACAAGATTGGATAAAGGCACTCTTCAGTAATCTATTGAAGGTTTTACTATAGCATTCCTGAACTTGGACACCCTCCTTATATGTGCATATCAATTCCCATAATTCTCTACCAGCAAGACCATTGACAAGTATTGCAGTAGTTGAAAGTCCAACATATTAAACAAAAGTGTTTTTAAAATAACCAACACTATCCATGGAATTGGCATACTATAGCCCTTGTACATGATCTTATATATCAATTATTTGTATGGATCCATTTATTTATATTTTTATATATCTCTGGTTTGTTGTTTGTTTGTTTGTTTCTGCCTTCATTGTTTTGACAAACAACTCAAGATGGTAAATATATTCAACACAACTTTCCTATTTTCTCCACAACAACCAACCCCTGAGAGAGAGCCCCAAAAGTAATGTGCTTGCTTTAAAAAGAGAGGAAAAATGCTTGACTATTTATTATTATAGTAATAATATTAATTATAAGCATATATTTAATATTTAAATCAATATGTATTATGTACATTGCCTCATAATTCTTACAACATCCCTGTATCATATTTTGAATTGTTCTTTTCTAAAACTAATTTCTTCCCAGGGAGGGTAATTGGCCAGGTCCAGAAATATTACTTATATCAGGAGCTTATGTTTTGGCATTATATTAATTTCATAGTTCTATTAAAATTCATAACAATACTATGAATTGCTACCCAGAATTGCAGCAATGACAATTATGCTGCTCCTACCTCTGATGCTTCAGATCCCAATAATAAGGTAAGAACTAAAATCGGTGATTTTTTGGACTGTAATTATGTTTCTTTAGCCTAATATGGAAATAAGTCTAACAGCCCTACAGCATCCTTAGGAAGTAGGTAGGAAATAAAAATAAAGTTTCATTCAAATCAAATTTGATTCCCAGTTATTCCATTGACATATAAATTGTTTCTCACTGGCTTATTCAGGATTTTTTTTGTGCATGTATAACTTTCCAGAAATTCCTCTTTATAAGTTAGCTTCTGAACCCAACAAGTCAGTTGTGCCATTTTTCTACATATAGTTTACTGTTACTTTATTTATTCAGGCTCTGATAGCTATTTGCCTGCAAAGCTGCAATGCAAGTATGAAAGGGCAATACTTATATCATGATGACTAAAAAAAAAAAAAGGTGCCGGAACTCACACACGTCATACAACCCGACTTGCCTACTCTACAAGGTTCCATCCAAAAAAGGTGCTGGACCTCCGTTCTGGGTGTTCTATGACAAAAAAAGCCCTGATGACATCTATTTTTTACAAGTTTGGGAGGAGATGAAATAAAACTAAAAAAAAACCCCACTTACATTTTGTTCAGTTTTTGCAGTTTTGGTTTATTACTATTCCTGTGCTGATTTTAAGAATAATTAGAATGAATTTTGAAACAATATGCCCAACTTCAAATCATACTAAGCCATAAAGTGGTTTGCGTAGATTTGCCTGTGTTATATGAACCTAACAAATTGTGGTTTATTCAGTAAACCATACTATTCAGTAAACCATACTTGAGAAAGTAGGGGGAAATGTGACACATGTTTCATGAATCTAGCCTATATGAAGCAGGTCAGGTTATTGTTTCTAAGAGCCAAGTTAGCCTCAACCAATGTTTTGTGTTGAATCCAAACAAAGCACTAGTTTGCCTCTTTCATGCTTTCGGAAAGTCAAAGGCCATTCTAATGACAGCTTGAAACAGTGATAAATGTAGCTGCTAATCACTTGCTTTACAGCATACCAAGAGTGGGGAAGAAAACTGTGTTGAAATTGCTCTAATGGGATAGAAGTGCTTCAAAGAAGAAAGGATTGGGCAATGAAGAGTTGCATACTATAAAGCAAAAAGGTGGGTAAACTCTGGGGGTTTCAGCTTGGTTTTGAAAGACCAGAGTCCCAGACCACCGCCCTATATAAACACAGGAGGTGAGACAGAAATTCTTTCAGAGCTGTTGCTCCAGCTCTGTGAAAGAGATTTCTGTGAATCTTTGAAGTGCCTCAGTTCACGTTAAATGGGGGATGGGAGTTCACACTTTTCCTCTCCTCCCCATGATTGTTTAAGTGGGTCAGGGATTTTCCTTCCAGGGAAACTCATGATGCAGACAATGCATCTGTTTTGAGCTATCTTTGTAAAACAAAAGAGCCTGGAAAACTTACTGCTGTGTTGAAAGAACTATTTGAGTTCAGGAGATGAAGAGAGCAAAGTCTACCCTTTTAAAACAATGTTTCCTCCCCACAGTTCTTTTTATCTTGTTTGCTTTCCACTGAACTTGCTTTTGATTTTAATTTTATGGGCTATCTTTACATGCAAATTGTATCTTTTCAAGGTATTTTCCCCCTGCAAAATTATTCTTTCATTGCTTAAAAACTTAGACATGATCCTCCAGATTAGGAAGATTATCTGTTATAAAATCTTGAGTTGCAATGTTTAATTGTTAATTTCACAATCCTAGATGTGCTTACTCATAAGAAGATCTAGTTTTATTCAGATGCATTTACCACTAGTAAGCATTCAGAAGATTATAACCTTGTTAAACAAATTATTTTCTGAAAAAAGCATTTTGATTAACTATTTTTTTTTTTGGCACAATTGTGGTCATCTCTATTGTATTCTTTATCAGAAAAAAACCAAATAAATAGAAATATTTTTTCCTTAAACAATTCCAATATAGGTGAGAAGTTTGGGTTCTGAAGTTTTTGTCTGTTAAAACAGAAATCATTGAGTGAGACTCAGTATTGTGATCAAACAGATCACAACATTTAGGATATATCCTACCATTATGATATTAAGCAAATTTCTTCAGGTTATTGATCAGGTGAAATCACTGGAACTAATCATCAAATACACACTTTTAAAACTCCTTTAACTATCCTTTTTATTGTAAAACCATGGTGGTTGTAATCTCTTAAAAGCAGTTATCCACATTAATGCTATGTTATTTCTCCAGTCATTTACCTACCAGACTCAAGAAATTGCTACTTTTTTCTAGGCTATATGATTGATCCAAACACTCTTAGGAAGGGTGCATTCCAATGAAACAAAGCCTCTTTGTGGGACCCAGGAGATGCAACTTCTAGGTATTGACCTCTACTTTATGGATTGACCTTTGTCTAGACCTATGGTTGGCACTGACCCTTCTGGTCTTTAGAAAAGCTGTCAGGAATCGGCTCTTCTCTTAAAGTATTCGGTCAGGATGTACTGGGGAGTTCCAAATACATGATGGTACCTTTTCTGTTCGGACCATCATTTTGGTATTCTTGAATGGTTTCTGCATTGTAGTTTTATTTACTTTTTTGTTTATTTCATTATTGTGGTTTTATTTATTCTTTTTGCTTGGTTCTATTAAATTGTTTGTAAGCCACTCAAAGTCACTTTAGTTAAGCTGGGTAACATAAAAATATTTTAAATAAATAATTTTTAAAGTATTACTTATTTCACCAATTTAATCCTATCACTTAATTGACTACATATCAAATGCTAAATCATAATTTTTTAAAACAATGTTTTGCTAAAAAACAAACAAACCCACACATAATCCTTGAAGTCAAAAGCAACCAAATCACATTATGGCTTAATACTTAAGCAAGGAGCAAGGTCAAGTAATGAAACATCTCAAAGCAAACTACCAAGCTCAGAGAGCATCAAACCCCCACATAAATACACAACCATTTCTTCCCCTAGCATTCCCCTCAACCTTCCCTTATTAAATTTAGTATCAAGTTAAAAAAGAGTGGTTCTTTAGATTTACCTAAAGACAGTTCTGTATATAATTTGAAACAATACTGCAATCCAATGCCATTACAATAATGGACATTTTGCGTGTGAATACTTTTGGAAGATAATTTCAGCCAGTTTGAATTATAGCACTCATGAGCTTGGAAAATATTGCTGTAAGCCAACATCTCCTGTGATTCCAGATTGGCATAAGATGAGATGAAAGTGTTTAGAATGAATAATAAGAGTAATTAATAAAATACATCATTTTCTTGTGGTGTGTAATGTAAAACAGCTTCCTTTGCATGCAATCTACTTTGCCTTTATGTCACTTTCTAATCTAATTTAGAGTCAAGGTGGGATGAATTGATTGCAATGGATATAGCAAATTTCATTTTGAGGACTGTTGTACAGGTGGGAAATTATTGATTTGCTCTTTATTCCTTTATTTTGCTTCTTCATTGCTTTCAGTCCATAGACTATATTTAGGGATAGTCTTGAGTGAAACATACAGGAGAGAAAGATGAAAGGAGAAAACAGACATAATATGTGTATTAAATATTTATAGAATTTTGTTTATTTTTTATTATTTTTCTTTTTTCTGTTTTTTCCTTTCAACTTTAAAAATATTAGATATTTTTCCTTTGACAATGTATGTCTGCCTGTCATAATTATGTATGTGTTTTGTTCCTTTTTTATATAGAGTTTTATTGATATTATAATTTTACAAATCATAGGTACTTAGTAAACAACATGTTGTCTGGGTTCATTTTTTAGTTAATACATTTTAGAATTATTCTATGTCTTTGTTTTCTTTGTTCTTCAATATCGCTCTGTCAGTTTCTACATATTCTGGCATTTTCTTAATCCCATCTTCAAATGGTATTCTTCACTTTTCAAACACTAAACAAATGCAATTCTTTCTGCTACTGATCCATATAACATACATACAACATTAAGTATATAGTTCTTCATCATATTTTTCTAATATTATATCTACTAACAATAGTTCTAGATTACAACATCTTTTCTATCCAATTCATGTCCTAATTTTATTTGCAGTTGAAATCACCTTATTAAGCCATATTCAAACCCTGTTCCTTTTTTCTGTAATTTTTTAAAACCAATAAAAAAATTAAAAAGAAGAAAATGAACAAAGAATAGAATAGAAAAGAATAGAATTCTAGGTTATGCCAACTTCTTTTTTGAATAGTAAATAGATCAATAGGTTTGATTAAAATAATGTATATCCTCCTTCTAAAATAGCCAATGAAATGGATCATTTCCCTCAATTAATAATAATAATTTTAGCACATGTGGAAAACTGATCCCTCTTTAGGACATATTTATGCAATATGGTGTCTCCTTAAATTTCACTTTCTTTATTATTATTTTGGAATTTTTTTCAGTTCTTGCATTCATGCAAACATTGTTCTCTTGGGACTAGGAACTGGGTTAAATTATTTTTAATTATTAGTGAGTTGTACAGGATGTTACGAGACCCTATGTTGGATACCAGGGACAGGTAGCATTTGAATATAATCACATAAATAGGACGGTACATTTTCTGAAGCCAGCTTTCTATCTCTGCTTAGGAACCCAATGAAGTAATATATCTTTTCCATTATTGAATTTGCCTGAATCAGCATTAAAAGTAGGGCACAGTTTCTACATCAAAGGAGGAGAGGCTGAACAAAATCTAAGCTGGACAATGGGAGTGGAGAAGTAGTGATTCAAACCTATTATGGAAGAAAAAATTGCATTGTATAAGAAGAAATCTGATAAATCAGAACAAATGCCAATCTAACCCAGTATTCTGTGTCCAACAGAAGCATTTGGGAAGCAACAAAAGAGATAAATACATCTGTCATAAGACCTTTCCATTTTTACACCCAACTACAGCACAAATATATTATGGCAATCTTTTTTCCTGCTATGTTCCCACCATGTTGTGTTCAACAACTCTCAACCATGGCTGAGGCAGTTGAAGTCATCCTTACTGGTGTTTAAATGATATTTTCATGCTTATTCTGACACTGGCTAGGGGTTATATGTAATAAATACCTGTATGTAAGAATGAATTGCTGTTCAGCATAAGTTTCCAGGTGGATTTGTAAATTTTAACAGTAGATATAAAGCATTGGTAATAAAAACAGTATGCAGAGTAGCAAATTGGGAAAGTTTCCTCATAACTCTAAGCTGGCCATATTTTAACTGCTATCAGCCTATTTTCTTTCAAATAGATCCATTGCCACTGTATCTGAATGATGGACTATTGCCAAAATTAATCAAAGAGGGTATCAACAGTGTGAAATAATCCTCCTTGGCAATCCTCTATTTCCTATTCATATTTTTAAAATGGACATTTTCAAGTGTTTAGTCAATTCCCTACTTGTCCAGCTTGATGGAGTGGAATGGTTAAGACACATTTCCTTCCCCACCACATTTGACATAGCAAGCTACGTGCCAGGGTTTTCCTGGTGGAAATGAACTCTCTTTGAGTGGCTCTTTTACAACTCAGCAAACCACACCCTGGTAGAAGATAAATAGAACAGTTTGTATCTGCTTGTGTGTACTGTACTTTGGCTCTTTACGTCAGCTTTTGCACACGTGTGGCCTAAAACATGTATTTTGCCTTGTAAGCAATAACCATAGAAGAAATATGAAACTACCAAGCAACAGTTAGAGAGAAAGGGGGGGGGGAGAGAGAGAGAGAGAGAGAGAGAGAGAGAGAGAGAGAGAGAGAGAGAGAGAGAGAGAGAGAGAGAGAGAGAGAGAGAGAGGAACAAGTATAATGAGCTAATCTGCTAAATGTTCTAACTATATTTGTAACTTCATATATTCAAAACTTTTCTGTAGAGATGGTTTGGACTTTTTAATGCTGGAAGCTGCACTTAAAATGTGTCACATATCTCTGAGAAATGACGAAAATGAGCATGATCATAACACATATAAGAATAAAACTGGAATGATCAATAGTGTAATGCAACTGCAAAGAAGGTCAATAACATCTTATGTAGGATCAAAAAGCCACACAGAGTTCCTTATTACAAGAAGTACATGGCCTACTCTGCCATGATCAGTCTTTGCTTGGAATATTGTGTTTAATTCCATACACTTTAATTTAAGAAAGA